ACGGATATAACACTTTCCTTAGGTTATTTAAAGCAGCAAATGACCACCATACCATAATCTTAGCAGACGAGTGTGCCAATGAAAATCGTAAACGTGAATTGTTGGTGAAAATGTTGGACCAAAAAGTTTCAATAAAATATATAATAATTTTGTGCGGGACGAAGTTTGCCGGGTCTGCTAGTCCACAATAATATTTGCAGATTTGCCTTCTTGACGATTTAAGATTCGCTTTTTTCCCCCGGGCCAGCAGATACCTCCGTTACAGATCTTAAATGATACAAGAAAAATAATGCTGTATCAGTTAATGAACACAAGTTTAATAAATCAAACGAACATCTTTTTTTTTCTGACAATTGATGTTTGTTGATAGTTTTAAAATCGGTTTTTCCACTTTTTGTACAATAGAAATCTCCGTTGCAGACCTTGAATTATTAAATAAATATTTTTAACACATTATTAGTTTAAATAATGCATGATTTAAACCTTAAAAAGCAACAAATATCTTTTATATACTTACAAACTCCTTTGATCCTTGATGTTTTGTTTACCAACTTTTTTCATAGTGGCCAATAAATGCTCTATTTCTTTACTTTTTCCTTTTTTCGTTATAAGAGTTTCCTCGTCTGATGTGGTAAAATAGGTTTTTGGAGTTTTTATTTTCCTCCCGGACGTACTGGTTCTTAGAGCATCTTTGGAATACAGCTTCTTGAAATCATTAGTTCTTTTTTCTGGAAATTCCATTATCTGAAGGCATAAATAAATAAATTTGATAAAAAACCATATATTAAAAGGGAAAATCACTAGAATACTCGTAATTGCAATCAAGCTGAAAATGTTTCAGGCATATGAAAAAGCTTCATATACAGTGATAATAGAGTGTAAAAAAAGCAAACATCCAATCAGAGATGTTCAGGAATGCCAAAATCGAGTTTCATTGTTTTAAGCTAATTTTGAGGAACCTCATAGCGTGTAAGCAAAGTACAACTGATCCACTGGTTATCAACTGGGCTTTCTTCTCCTACAACATTACTCCAATAGGGCATCCTATAGCATTTGTCTTCGAAATTGTTGATAGAAATAGCTTCTACTGTATCTGACAACATTTTACAGTGATGTACACCAACAGTATTAGACCGTATTCCAAAATCATACAATGCTTCTTTCCTTTGAAATGCTTGGAAAATCAGTAATATTTGTTCCTCTACTTTTATAATGTGTTTTATTATCCCGATTCTTCGATCCCTAAGAAAACAGCAGCTATCACATAAATTTGTTGACAATATTAGCTTTCCGATCTCCAACTTCCGATATTGTCGACATTGAGCATCAAATATATTTTCTGGAAGAGGACCATCTGCATGAGGCAAGGATAGACGTATCTGAATGTTATCATTGAAAGGCGTACAAATTAGGTCATTTAATTCTGTTGTTCTTTTGTAAATCTGTTGGAGAGGAAGACCTGGCTTGCGAATTAATTTACGTGGTTCAGCATATTATTTTCATAACAAAATGCACTGAATGACTCCATGTCACCAAGAAATTGAAACCCAAAAATTTCTTCGCACATTTGTACGTATTTTTTTTAAAGCATATTTACAAAAATTCAGAATTTCAGAAGGCGTTTCTTTATACACCAAAAGGCGCATGGCCATGTGTAATAACAAGAAATGTTCATAAGTATCGTCTTCAAAAACATTTTTAAATACAGCCACAGCTGTGTACAGAGCTAATTGCCTTAAATCTATGAAAAGCTGAGAAATTATTTGGCCTTCGGTTGAAGTCAGAGGGACAGTAATTTTGTAGTTGTTGCATTCTGGAATCAAGGATATGTAACTTTCTGCCTGTTAACCTTCGACGAGCATATTTTCCGTCAACGTTTACCACTATAGCTTTCATAACATTTCCAAATGGTACTTTAGTTACCAAACCAAGCAACTCTGCCAAAGGGCTTCTTCCAAGATGATGGTCTATTAGATTACGATAATCAGAATCTGTCCGTAGCTGGTGCTCCGTCCCTTGAAAAATCATATAATAAGTGCCTTCGACTTTACACTTGGAGCATGCTTTTGATGAATTGTGGCCAGAGTGATTTAAAGCGAACGCTCTTGCAGGCGCATCTGCTATAAAACAGCGCACAGTCAAAAAAAATCTTCTGTCTTCAATAATGATTCCTTCTTCACGTACTTCAATAACTTCTTGGACAAATTTTTCAAAAAAATCAAACACATTTTTTCTGAAGAGTAAATTTAAAACCTAAATGCAGATATTCTCCACCTCCTATCTGCTGAATTAATCCATTTTCAACATTTGTGCGAGTTTGCATCCTTGGGTAAGAAATTTAGTTTAAATGGATATTCTCTTAAGGGTTTTAGAAGAATATTACATTGAGTGTGCTTCAAATTAGCAGCCAAAAAGGCATTTCTCAGTTGTTTTTTTTTTCTTAAAACATTAATATTTATAGGTAGAGGTACTTTATCATCACTGCTTTCTTCAGAATTTATTTCTCTATCAATAATTTCTACTTGTTCACTTTCATCACTTCCATTAATATTTTCTTCTACAATTTCTTCAGCACTATCATCAGAATTTTCTTGTTCACTTTCATCAGCACTTCGATCCAATGATTCCATTTGTGATGAATGAATCAAAGGAAATTCCACGTTATTTCTTTGATCTGCAGCTAGCTCACTATGAACCGAAGAATTGTTATCGTCTATTTCTCTCCGGATGTCTTCCAAGCGTCTGCGCTTTTGACTTGCACTGAGGGTTGAAAACTCTTTATGTTTTCCACGCAGCATACTATTCATTTACCTTAATATTCTTAGTATATTCTTTTTATATGTACTTATTAACACAACTTTTATGTTACTGATGTAACACACTGCTTCTCGAAATTCTCCCAATTAATTTTTCTCAAATATGTTTAAGTAAACTTCACAAACAACTTACAATAATGGCGCTTGTGCTAACACTGGTGCATGCAATAGACTATCGATTATCCACTATCGACTACTATTACTTCATGTCACATCGACGAAACATCTTTAGATGTTTTTATGGTATATTATAAGTTAATAATAGAAATAATACATAATAAACTAAATGAAATTATATTTAAATATACAAAAAAAAAATAAATACATACAACCAATCTTCCGGACTATGGCAAGCGAGAAATTCCGTATTATGTGCGAGCAAACTGAAGGCCCATTCCCGGACTATTGGTCATCTCACAATGTGCTAGCGTAATCGTTGCGTTATAGCAAGCCTGCGGTCCGCCGACCGTCGTGCCTGCAACGTGCCCGGACCGCATTGTTATCTGGGGAATCGATCTTCGCAGCGTCCGCGGTCACAAAGCGACAAATTCTCACCGCCGTTGCGAAACTTTTCGACCCCGCAGGGTGGATGATGCCCATAATGATACAAGCGAAGATCCTCATGCACGATTTGTGGCTCGACGGAACTGATTGGGATGAGCAAGTCAAACCCAACCGCCTCTATAAATGCCTGTAATTTGCGAATAATCTGCAAACAGTCTCTACCATCCAGATACCCCGATGGGTCAATTACCTCCCTGGCCAACCCGTCGAACTACACGGCTTCTGTGACGCCTTCGAGAAGGCCTACTGCGCAAACTTGTATGTTCACACCACGCATGGTTTCCAAGTCACCTCTCATCTGCTAATGTCCGAAAGCAAAGTTGCACCCCTAAAAACTATCAGCTTACTACGTCTCGAATTACGTGGAGCTCTTTTATTAGCCAAATTGGTCTCAGTAGTGCTAAGCCACCTTGACCTTCCTAAACTAACCTTGTGGTCCGACTCTGAAATCGTTTTAGCTTGGCTAGAAAAACCGCCTCAGCCCTGAAAAACCTACGTATCCAACCGAACCGCGCAGATAATTGATCTCATTGGAAACGCCACCCTCGTGAAAGGTTATGTGGCCGCTTTGTGTGTTTCACCACAAAGGCCGCCCACCTCGAGCTCTGCTCCGCTCTCAGCAGCGACGCATTCCTTGCAGCCTTTGCTCGCTTCATTGTACGCCGTGGCTACCCCAAAAAAGAAGATGAGCGACAATGGGAAAACCTTCATAGGAGCCTAAAGAGCCGCCGAAAGGGAATTCTCCGCATTTCTAAGGAAAGTTTTACCTGATATCGTCACAAAATACGCGGTCCAAGGTATCAATTGGACCTTCATTCCACCCGGCGCTCCTTATATGGGCGGTTTATGGGAGTCCGAGGTCAAGAGCTTCAAAACTCATCTCAAAAAGACCGCTGGATCTCAGAAGATCGCGTTTGAGGAGTTCACTACTCTCTTAATCAGAATGGAAGCCGATCTACACTCTCGTCCCATCTCTTCGCTTTCTCAGGACCCAATGGACCTCACAGCGCTCATTATTGGTCACTTTCTTTGAGGTGCCCCGATGCTGTCACTACCTGAAGCAAATTATGAAAGTTTACCCTTAGTCAACAGATGGGAAAAGATTAAAATCTTACATCACAAATTTAGCCGCCGTTGGAAGGAAGACTATCGGAACGATCTTAAAAAACGCCACATATAGAAAACTACCCAAGCCCCACCGAAACTCTGAGAGTGCGTATTACTCCAAGATGACACCCTTCCACCCACAGAATGGCGTCTCGGACGCATTGATAAATTGCATCCAGGCCCAGATGGTCATATTCGCGTGGTCGATATACGCACTCAGAACGGAGTATTCACCCGGCCCATAACGAAACTATGTATCTTACCATCAGCCGAATCTCCTGTTACTCAAGCCGAGGCTCAGTAGCCAAACTGCCGCAATTACATTATACACTCACACCCCCATAGTATTCAAACCCACTGTATCCACTATGCTCCACGAAAATAGTCAAAGTTCTACACGCCTCTCAATTGCCTTTTTGTAACCTGATCCATGCCACCGCATTTATACTTGCAGATGGAAGGATACGTGCCTACCCCAGCACCCCGCAGATCCCTGCAATATCAGGTTCTGGTGCCGTCCGATGCTGCTTATACACCAAGTCGACGACTGAAAACAGCAGATGCTTTCCATTTCCAGACAACCGGTCAGGTACGAGCATGATTTTTAATTTCGACCAAACTCAAATACATTGTTTGTTGGTCCAAATAATGAGACACGTATTTTTTCTTTTGCCTCGGAAAAATTTTTCGGCCGAATTAAACGCGATTTTGTTTTTCAGGCAAAAATCNCAGCAGCGACGCATTCCTTGCAGCCTTTGCTCGCTTCATTGTACGCCGTGGCTACCCCAAAAAAGAAGATGAGCGACAATGGGAAAACCTTCATAGGAGCCTAAAGAGCCGCCGAAAGGGAATTCTCCGCATTTCTAAGGAAAGTTTTACCTGATATCGTCACAAAATACGCGGTCCAAGGTATCAATTGGACCTTCATTCCACCCGGCGCTCCTTATATGGGCGGTTTATGGGAGTCCGAGGTCAAGAGCTTCAAAACTCATCTCAAAAAGACCGCTGGATCTCAGAAGATCGCGTTTGAGGAGTTCACTACTCTCTTAATCAGAATGGAAGCCGATCTACACTCTCGTCCCATCTCTTCGCTTTCTCAGGACCCAATGGACCTCACAGCGCTCATTATTGGTCACTTTCTTTGAGGTGCCCCGATGCTGTCACTACCTGAAGCAAATTATGAAAGTTTACCCTTAGTCAACAGATGGGAAAAGATTAAAATCTTACATCACAAATTTAGCCGCCGTTGGAAGGAAGACTATCGGAACGATCTTAAAAAACGCCACATATAGAAAACTACCCAAGCCCCACCGAAACTCTGAGAGTGCGTATTACTCCAAGATGACACCCTTCCACCCACAGAATGGCGTCTCGGACGCATTGATAAATTGCATCCAGGCCCAGATGGTCATATTCGCGTGGTCGATATACGCACTCAGAACGGAGTATTCACCCGGCCCATAACGAAACTATGTATCTTACCATCAGCCGAATCTCCTGTTACTCAAGCCGAGGCTCAGTAGCCAAACTGCCGCAATTACATTATACACTCACACCCCCATAGTATTCAAACCCACTGTATCCACTATGCTCCACGAAAATAGTCAAAGTTCTACACGCCTCTCAATTGCCTTTTTGTAACCTGATCCATGCCACCGCATTTATACTTGCAGATGGAAGGATACGTGCCTACCCCAGCACCCCGCAGATCCC